TTGGTTTGAGCCTCAAAGCTAGCACTCTGTAGTGGACAGCCACCACCATCATTCCCACAGCTCACTGCTTCCAGAAGGCACCCAGGGTACATTATGGTTACAATTTGATTCTCCAGTTATTGAGTTCGTTTGAGAAACTCTTGAGAGAGAAGGACTCCAGAGTCACAAATAAAGTGTCCTGGGCATGGTCAAACAAATGTGATGATGTTAAGACTGTGGAGTTTGAACTCTGTGCTCAAGCTCCCTTCCTTCCTTGTCCAGGAGGGCTGCTAATATCTAACACTACAGACTGTGACAATAATTAAGTAAGATAGTCCTAGGAAATCCTCGCCTATGACGGTATGGAATAGTCCTCCCAGCAGCAAGCAACGTTAGTCGCTATGACATTTTATTTAAATTAAAACCACTGTATTTGAACCCAAGGGAGGAGGGATAATGTCCTAATTGTTGTTTAAGGCTTCTTTCCCCTTCTGTCAAGGAAGGAGCATAGACTCAGACCCGTGCATGTCTGCCAGGGTAAGTAACTCCTCACCTGTCCTTCCCGCTTCTTCCTCAGCTCAGCGCTCCTACTGCTGTCCCAGGAAGGACCCACCACTCCTCACAAATAGAAACAAATCAAACAGCAGCAGAGAACAAAACAAGCAAATAAGCCCATAAGGATCAACTAATGTTTTTAAAACAAACAAATAAACAAATACACAGACACAGCAATTGGCACCATCAGCCCTGTAACCAAAGCTCCCTTTCCTAAAACCTGACTGGAAGAGGTTCTCCAAGCATTGATCATCTCTGTTTCTCATCCCTTTTCCCATCTCCCCTCTCCTGCCTCCCACACAGACAGACAGACAGACAGACACACACACACACACACACACACACACACACACGAAACGAAACCTGTATCTAGGGAGCAGGCTGAATAGAGAGAAAGCCATGCTGACAGCCTTGAGGAGGAGAAGGCCTTGACCCCTTTGCTCCTCACTCCCCTATCTGCAACTGGATCCCGGGAGCTTGGCTCAGTGCTTAGCTGTGGGTCTCTGCTTCTGCTTCCATGAGCTACTGGATGAAGGCTCTAGGATAGCATTTAAGGTAGTCATCAATCTCATAATAGGCAGCCTCTCCACTACTGCTTAGATTTATTTGGGGTCATACTTGTGGATTCCTGAGAATTTCCCCAGGGCCAGGTTTCTCTTTAAACCCATCATAATGGCTCCCTCTATCAAGGTCTCTCTTCTCTTGCTTTCCTTTTCTGTTTTCCCCCAACTCAACCTTCCTCAAGACCATGCTGGGGAAACCCACAGAAACAGCTGACCTGAACTAGTGGGAGCTCCCAGACTCCAGACTGACAGCTGGGGAACCTGAATAAGAGAACCAGGCCCCCTGAACGTGGGTGTCAGTTGTGGGGCTTAGGCAGTCTATGCGGCCCCTGGCAGTGGAACCAGTATTTATCCTTAGTGCATGAACTGGCTTTTGGAGTCCATTCCCTATGGAGGGGTGCTCTTCTCAACCTAGATACAGATGTGACAGACTTTAATGGTCCCCCATGGGAGGCCTCGCCCTCCCTGAGGAGTGCCTGGGGGGTGAGATGTGGAGATGGTGGGTGGCATGGAGGACAGAATGGAGAGGGAACTGGGACTGGTATGTTAAATAAGATTGTTTTTATTTAATAAAATAATATTGTTTTATTAATAACTGGACAGAAAAAATAGTCATTTAAGAATAGCATGATTGTTGTGTACACCCCAAACCAGAAAGATTTATACCTTTCCAATGTATCAGAATTTACTGGAGAAAGCTAAATCTAGAAGCCCAAAAGAATAGGAGAAGATACACTTCACTTCTCTGTCCACCCAAGTGAGGAGGCAGAGCTTGGAGAAGTCAAGAAAAACCAAAATGCTTTTTCTCCACTGACTGGCTGAGAAGTTACAAAACACCAAAACCTCACACAGTAGGAAGACAAGAGAGTTCTTAGGAAAACACAGCTGGACAGATGAGGAGTGTGTGCAACCAAAGGGATACTTGTGTTCTATGGGGGGGGGGGTTCTTCAGTTTGAATGGTTTGATGAAGAATGGTGGGATGCTTGCTGCAAGGTGTGGTACCATCACAGCCCACAGAGAACACAGAAGAGGACTTCAGGCAAGCTCTGTAAGCTGTCTGTGAAGAAGAATGGGGCAAGAGGCAAGGGGCAGCAGAACTCTCCATCCCCAAATGGTTGCTGTCAATGGGGCCAGGTCCCAATGGCCAAGAAGGTGGGACACATTCATTGACAGTCATCCACCCCAGCTTACTGGGAAACTTTAATAAATGCCCAGTAAATCCCCCCACTCAGCCTCTGTGTGCTGTTCTGCCTCTCCACGGGCGTTGTTTGTGCCTAAGAAGGAAATGTATAAGTGGTCTCTTTCTTCATGTCTGGTCTTTAGAATTGGGTTTCTGAGCTAATATCAGACAGGTGGATGGTGAGATGTGAACCAGACATGTGAATGAAATTTCTGGCAGGGCTGAAGTCTAAACCCTGGAAAGGAATAAGGAGCCCACTGAAGGCATCATAAAGAGGTGGACAGTGGAGCTTAGCAGATTTCAAGCAGAGTTTGAAAGCATTAGAAGTGGTTCCTGTCTTATACCCCCCTCAGACAGAGCATTTCAGAAACATTCCCCCAATGGAGGTGGATGTACTATAGGTGTTGAGACTACAGCTCCTCTCAAACCCACTGGGGAAATTCTACACTCGGGTGGGGTGCAGACGACAGGTGTCTTTGTAGGTATGGAGCAGGATGAAGTTAAGTTGGGGGATTCAGGCTCTGCAGTGACTATGCCAGTAGCCACTCAGCAAAAACCTAGAAGCCCTTAAACGACAAGCCTTTGGAATTTGATTGCTTGTGAATACCGCCCCCCCCACCTTGTAATTGCAAAATTAAATTATGTGCACGTGTTTATGCAGCTAATTTTAAAAGTGTTCAAGAAGCTTTCTGTGAAGATGTTTTGATGGCCAATTTTCTTACATTACAGTACAATTTCTAGTGTTACAGTACAGGTTATTTGAGATCCTAACTAAAATTAGAAACTCCAATGGATACAAAACCCGTTACATGGAAACCTTTTTCACAGGTGGTAGGAGGATGCATGCCTGAAATTCCTCCAAGAGCCAGGTAGGAGGGTTCCATGTTGAAGACTAGCCAGAACAACTGAGGCAGGAACAGGACATATTCAAGAGTAGACCAAGGAACTTCGCAAGACCCAATTTATTAAGGGGGTCTTGAACCTTGCCCTGGTATAGATTAAATTATGTTTATAGAAAGAGCAAACCTTTTTTTGTCTCAAAGGCTTCCCTTGTTTCTCAGTAATGAAACTCATGCTTTAAAACTTTGGAAACGCTAAAGACATCAGAATGGAAATCAAACTTAATTTATGTCAAACATTCTACTATGTCTTCACAGGAAAGCAGCTTGGACACTGAGCAATGCTACTCGGTGGCAGAGAAAGCCAGTGGGACTTGGTGGGCACATCCATCTTGTGGTCACCTTCTCCCTCCATCAATTCCCAGCAGGTGGAAACTTTCAACCTGTGTCCTAAGTCAAAAAACTTATCTTTCCACATTCAAATCTGTTGCTTGAGGCTGCCCTTCTATTTTCTTCTAATTCCCCTATTCTTTTCCCTCCTTTAAAAAAAAAACTTTTCTTTGTGCTTCATTATAAAAGACATTTTCTATTACCTACAGGCATAGATGTTCTTATATCAAGTAATGTAAGCCATTCTTTGAAAAAGTTAGAAAAAATATCTTGTCCATCACAAATATAGACAATGAGTATATCTTTGCACATTTGGTCCGGTGTTTTACCTATTACAATCTCTTTCCCATATTGTTGCTATTCCCCAGATACCACTGAAAAGGACAAGTGTTACAGTAATTCTATTGTCCTTGTGGGCCCCAACACTTCCCAGTGTATTCCTAGCTCAGAGAAACAGCCATGGTGTAGTTTTACATGGAAGAGGCAAACTAGGAATGGATGTTATAATCTCTGTACAACAGTCTCTCAGCTTTCACAATGGGGTCCCTTGCTGCCAGTCTCCAGTCTCTTGACAAATCTGTACGTTCATCATTTGTACCTAGCTCTTGATCAAACGTAAGACTCTATCTAGACTAATGCTGTCTATGACAAGTCACAATCATGGATACAGTTCAGCTGTATGAAGTGTGGCTGCAGGACATCTGGCTTTGCATAGTGTGTTTCCCATGCTTGTAAAACAGGAGATAGGACCGAATATTAGCTCATTAATTGCATAATTCAAAGGCTCACAATGATGGGGCATATGGAATGTTTTATGGGGTACCAATTCAGAGATTGAGATAAGGAAAGTTCCCTCTACTAAAATCATATTGATTCTCTTTTCAACCTCAGAGACATAATTTCTAAAATCGTTTGGACATCTGGTAAGGCTATTGACTTTCCAGGCTGTACTGGAAATATACAACCTGAAGGGCAAAAAGGTCTCTATTAGGAGGTCAGGATAAACTCAAGCTCAAATGGACACCCGCTGGCTTTGGTCTGCTCTTCCTAGCTTGCTCTAATGATCTGCAGTAAGCAAGGAGACCAAATGGCTCTGAGTACTTTACTAACACCGGGTGTTGTCAATGCTTTTAAATAAAACTCTGTTTCAGTTGCCTTGGACCGTAGGCATGGTTAGGTAACTCTGACAGCTTGTTTGTTGTTCGTGGAGACCATTCTATGACAAACTCATGCTGCTTACCACCAAGAGCAACACTGAAGCTCACTTTGTTAAACCTTACCAGGACATGGCAAAAATACAGGGAGATTAAGTGCAGAGCAAACAACCAAAATTGATGAGAACCTTTGGGTTGAGGATCAGAACAGAAAATGTAAAAACAAAACATCCGTGTGACAGAAATCTCAGTCCTCAGTTGTAGTTTGTGCTAACAGGATAGTGGTTGTCTTTGGTGTTTACTTAACCCCTGCAATCCCTGCATTATTCCCAGACTTACCTGCAGCTGGAGTGGGCCTAAGCCTGGGGTCGCTGCTGCGGCAGCTGCCATGGTGGTTGGGATCAGCTGAACAGGGTAAGGGTCACCTAAGTAAGAGAATAATAGAGGCGTCAGCACCTTTTATCTCCTCTCCACCTGCAAATTAAACTCCTGCATTCACTCTTTCCAAAAGCCTGCCTTTGTGCGCCTGGCTGGGGCCTAATGAAAAGCTCCATTGTGTAGCCTTTTACCAACTCTTCACAACCCTGGCTGAGAGAGGAATGTGAATAAAAGGAGCGAGCAATTAAGGCTGAAACCTCATCCTTTTTTCATCATGTATTTAGGAAAATGGGGGTTGGGGGCACGCCGTTCAGAGGCTGTACTTGGACAGGGACACACACACTCTCTGTGTGTGTGTGAGTGTGTGTGTGTGTGTGTGTGTGTGTGTGTGTGTCTGTCTCTCTCTCACACACACACACACTCTTTCTGTGTCTCTTTCACTAACTACAAAGCGCGCACTTGCGCGTGCACGCATGCGCGCGCGCGCACACACACACACACACACACACACACACACACACACACACACACACACCACTGCAGTCTTAAAAGGAGCACAGGAAATCCCTCCTTGCCAACTTTTCAGTCTTACCACAGAAGGAACTTAACTCACTTTCATTTTAACGAGCTAAACACCAAAGATTTAAACCATTAACTAATCTTTTGAATGTTGTATTATGGCCTGGATTAAAATGATCTCTTTAATAGGTCATGGACAAATTCAGAGTCAAGAAAACACTTCATGCTTGTCCTTTCTTTTCTTTTTGACATTATAGAAAACATTGACATCTTTGTTTTCTGGAGATAAATGCTGGCAAAAGTATATTTTAAAGGCAACAGACAAATTGATCTTTCAAAATTGTGTCTTTAAAATATGCTTCAAAATTAATCTTGTTTTTCTCATCATATATCCAATAAAAATTCAGACGCTAGAGGTGTACATGGATTATTTTGTGTACTTTTGATGCAGACACAGACATCTTTACTTGCTTAATAAGACAAAAGGCAGAAGTCAGCTTAGTAGCCAACTCTGTGTTAGTAATATAACCAATAGTGCACATTAGTTAACTACTGGAAATATGATATAGCAAGAAATTGAAAGTAATGTCTATAAGAACACATTTTCTAATATATTACACTGGTTTTAGAAATTGAATGTGTGAAGCCAGGTGTCTGTCTATAAACCTCAGGAACCTGAGGCAGGAGGATCTTCAATTTATGGTCAGTGAGGACTACACAGCGAGAGGCTTTCTTGATAAACAAGAAAAAATGAATTCATGCAAGAACCTGCTGATATATGCATTAACAACATTAAGATAATTCAGTTTTAAACACAGAGTATCTGAGGTAAATGGTAACCACTGCTCTTGGTACTGGAAGGTGAACACTGAGAAAGTCTGACATAAACATGGGGTTTATTAGGAATGCAGGGAAGTTCAAGCTGGAGGTTTCCAGAGAGGTCCCTTAGAAGCATGTTCACTGTTTCCCATCTTCCTTTCACCAATTTCCATAATTTTATACTTGGCCGTGATTTTTGCATCATAATATATATTTTATACTGGTTTGGAATATTTATATAGGCAATGTTTTGTACTTTTATTCTTAAAGATAATGTTCTAGGTCTGTTTCTGTTATTGTGACAAATGACCTGATAAAAAGCAACTAGGAGAATGAAGAGCTTATTTGAGTTTCAATTCCAAGTTACCTTCCCTCATTGAGGGGAATTCAAGCCAGGAACTCAAGACAGCTTGTCATAAAACTGACCACTTATTATTTGTAGTCAAGAAGCAGGGACAGCTGAAGGGACATACCAATGCTGCCCTCTTGCTTGTTCAGCTAGATTTTTCATGCAGCTCAAGGCCTTGCTTAGGGAATGATGCCACTCACAATTGGCTGAATCTTCTACAGCGATTGACAATGGAGACAATTTCCACAGATAGTCACAGGGTAATCTGATTTCAGTAATTCCTCAGTTGAGATTCTTTTCCCCAGATAATACAGGTTGTGTCAAGTTGACAGCAAAGGGGACCACCCCAAAATCATAAGTTTGTTCCAGGTTTCAAACAGAGATCTGCTCTTCATGAAGTTTACAGTTGATGGGGGTTGGGTAAATAAAAAAAATCTATTATAAAATATAGCATTTAGTAAGGAAATCCATAATTCGGTAAACATATATTGGCTCCCCCAAATCTTGTCTAAGAGAACAAAGAACCCTCTGGAAAAAGCCATGTTTAAGTTGACCTTGAATTAGGGAAATTGAGCTGGGCAAAGGTGAGAAAAAGGTATTCCAGGCAGAGAGAGGATGCTCACGAAGACTAGACACAGTGGAAGTCTTACACCATGTTCTAGGTCCAGAGTGGCCGGACTACAGAGCAGGTGCTGAGACAGAGGTGAACGGGGATGTGGAGGGTGCCAGGTGATCACTTATTATTCAGAGTTCTATAAGCAAATATTAAGGCATCTAAGTTTATTCTACAGAGGAAAGTGAACCCCAAGTGTGAAGAAGAGAAACAACTGACTAAGATGGACTTAACTAGCAAGTGGGAGCCACAGAAGCAGACTTCTGTGTAGCTGTGACCAGGGATGGACAAGGGTAGGGCCTTGGGTGGTACAGGGAGAACTCAACATTTGAGGGGGAACAACAGACAAGAGTGTTGTCTGTTTCCATGACAAGGCAGGGACAAACATGAAACAAGGTGATGGGCAGATGATGCCATAGGCTTGGGCTTTACTGCCATTTGGTACTGTTAATTGCTTCATCTGTGTGACACTGATTCAATGGAGGGAAGTTGAAAATGTTTAAAATTGAAACTACGTTTGTTCAGATGAGGGAAAATGGTAAATATTATAATTGTATAGTTATTAGAATCGATCATGTAAATGCCTACAACATTGTAATTCATTTGTATCCCTCACTTAATGAACACAATCTTAAAATTAACTAAAGCGTTCATGAACAGGCTCCGGTGCTCTTCACAGTGATAATTCATTTATATAATTTACTTCCCCTGTTGTAAATTAATCAATTAATAAGCACTTGCTACATCCACCATGTGATTAGGAATCTGCCGGGTGCTGTGGGAGATGTACACAATAAAATTAAACAAATCCGGGTCTCTAGTCATTGCACATTAATCTCTCCTACCCAGGAGCATGTTTGAGTTGTACAGGCCATTGCTGAGTGCTACAGGAGTTAAAGGCGGTGGCTTCTAGGCTTCAGGCTTTAAAGACTAGTTAAAGGTGGCTGAGAGGAATTAATGTGACTTTGCTGGCTTTCAGGTGGCAGGGGGGTCAAGGGACAAGAAGCAGGCCTGAAACCTGTATCAGAACATGAGTGTGATGTTGAGGCTGAGAACAGAAATGCAGCCTAAATGGTGATCCATGTTAGCAGAAGGGAGCAGAGATGAGAGACATTTGCACACTCCATCACCAAAGAGATTTGGATACAGGGACGCAGAAAGGCAACAGATGACAAAGGAGCATCAGGCCATGGTGGTGGGCGGTTCCTGCTTGTAATTCTAGCAGCTGTGAGACAGAGGCAGAAAGAGCAACCGTTCTAGGACAGCCTGGGTGATATAGTGAATTCAAGTCCAGCCTGAGCTACATAGAAAGATGCTGTCACAAAAGAAAAAAATAAAGAGAAAGAAGACAGAAATGCAATCTTAACCATATTACTAAGGAGATTAAGTGACAGGTGGACTTGATGACCTAGATATATTTCAGAAACTCAAGCTCTCAGTGCATTTGGATGGGACTGCACACTTGCAAAGGTGGTTTGGATTTCTAGGTCACTAGTGTCTATCTGCGTATATAAAAGTCACAAATTAAGATCTAATCTACTCTGTAACATTAAAAGCATACACAGCAGAATATTACCATTTTTACTCCTTACATTCATGACAATATTTAGTTACCTTTCTTTGTGTTTGTATATATCAACAAATGTTGTGAGCGCATCATATTGCCCATATGTAAATGTATGGATATATATGAAATAGCCATAAGCAGTAGGCAACTGTATACGTGTGCTATGGGTTGAGTTAACTGTGTAGCCCCCGTTGATGTAGTAAAGCCCTAACTTGCAGTACCTCATTGCACCTGGATTTACAGAGACGAATAAGTAAAATGCATTCACTAACAGGCCTTATTGGATATAAGAGGAGTCCATACTTTAAAATTAATTGATTGTGAATGTGTTTGTGTACAGGTACATGTCGGGGTAGACATGCTGCACTCAGAGGACATCTTCTGGGTGTCAGTTCTTGTCTCCCACGTTGTTAAGGCATGATCTCTCTTGCTGTGTCTTACCCTCTGTGCTATGCACTCCAGGTTAACTGGCCAGTGAGCTTCTGACTGATTCTCTTGGCTCTCCTTCCAGCTCACCCTAAGAGTGCTGACTATAGGTGAGAACTGGTGTGTCCAGCATGGGTCTTAAGGACTGAACTCAGGCTAGTAGACACATGCAGTAATAGTTTTGTACTCTGAGCCATTCCCCGCAGCCCTGACAGGAGGCATTATAAGAAGATGGCATCAGAACACATACACCCTGGGGAGCATTAAGAGAGGACACAGAGGGGAGGTAGCCTCATACGGGCCAAAGGAAGATGCTCCATGAGAGCTGCCTTGTCTCTAAGATCTCCTAGCTTCTACAGCTGTGAGAAAAATATCTGTCCAAGCCACCTAGTCTGTGACATTTCACTATAGAGCACAATGCTGTCTAAGGGTGCTATTTAGCAATGAGTTTGGTATTTAAGGGAACAGAGGACAACAAATTTTAGCAGCATTGAAATGAGTGAAGTATTAACAACCATTGTGCACTGTCAGTCACATACATCTTCTAAAGTATGAACATATGATCATAAGCAGGACTTCAACACATTTCATAAGCACTCTGTTCAAGGAGCTACACTGTAGTGGCTGTTCCACCCAATGTGAAAGTCACATACATTACTCCGCGTCTACCTCATTATTAACTTTTTTAAGCTCCAAATAGTCAGAGCTAAATATGTTGAAATCTGCCTCAAATAAAGAAATAAATAGGAATTCA